CCCCCCCCCCCCCACACACACACAAACGCAAGTGGGGAAAAGGGAAGCGCTGGTTTTTACAAGGGCTTGTCTTGGACAGGTGGTCGTTGGAGCAGTTTTGACCAAAGTGTTTTTATTTGTTTGTTTGTTTGTTTATTTGTTTTTTTATTTGTTTGTTGTTGTTTACAGAATTATAACAGTAATAGCACTGTCAAGAGGTCTACTTGTCCAAGACTACCGGTTTTCTCCTTGGCAATTGCTTGCCGGTTTGGACAGTTTCTGCTGTACTCTGTTGATTATTGATCCCCCACGGGCAGAGATTGACAGCATGCTTTCACCAGCTTCTGCCACAAAAAAAAAAAAAAAAATAGATGTAGGCCTACTTATATTATTGGCGTCGGTGGCCTAGTGGTTAGGCTCTCGGACTCGCAACCGTAAGGTCGTAGGTTCGAATCCCGTCAGGGACCCGACGTTGTGTCCTTGGGAAAGGCACTTTACACGAATTTTCCTCACTTCACCCAGGTGGGAATGGGTACCCGGCTATAGACAGCGAAAGATCTTGTCAGTATGTTAGTGTTTGGGCGCTTAATCAGCTGCTTGCACTGTATGCTTCCCGGGAAGCTGAGAATGTTGCGGAGTGTTCTATGGTCTGCTGGGGTAATAATATAGTGTAAAGTGCATAGAGCCTGCTGTTGAGCGGGGATATGCGCTATACAAGTGCTATCTATTATTATTATTATTATTATTATTATTATTATTATATATCCCTATATAGCCCTATATCGACCCATCACATTCTGTCCCTCTCACTCCTGGGCTCATTCACTCTCTCATTACCGACACATAGCATGGCAACCCTTGGGGAAAACACAGGGCAGAATATACTTGAAAAAGAATATAATTCGTATTATCGGCTCCTTAGTGGGAAAATTACGGCTTTTGCACTGCTGTAGGTAACAGCCCCAATCTTATCTTATCTCATCTTATCTTATCTTATCTTATCTTATCTTATCTTATCTTATCTTATCTTATCTTATCTTATCTTATCTGTGGCGTCGGTAGCCTAATGGTTAGGCTACCGGACTCGTAATCGTGAGATTGCAGGTTCGGGGGTTCGAGCTCAGCTCGGTCCGACTTTGTGTCCTTGGGAAAGGCACTTTTCACGAACTTCCCACTTGGCTCGGTCCTATCGGAGACGGACGTTAAACTAGTAGGTCCCACCCCTTAAATAACCTAATAGTGTTGATAGGGGCGTTAAACCCATACCATTTCACCATTTAAAAAATCTTATCTTATCTTATCTTTACCTGGTTGTGACGATCTGCTGTTGGTCGGGCTTCAGGATCTCGGTCAGTTTTCTCAACGTGTTTATCGCCCTTTTCTGCTCTTGCAAATTCCGTAGAACCCTGTGGAAACAAGACACTCTTACTGATGGCCAGTCCGGGATGTTTTAAGAAATGTTAAGTAATTCCACACCCTCGAATCTGTTTTAAAAAAAAATTGTAGATGTAACAAGTCCCCATCGATACTATTGAAACCCTTTTTAAGGAGGAAGGAACTTTTTTTGATGGTAGACTTTAGAAGAATGATCTACTATCTAATCTTGCAGTTTCCAATGTGTTCCTTTTTCCTTTATTTATTACGGCGCTCAACTCACTTCTGTTTGCTTTGTCCGCTTTTATATTCTTATCCGTATCTGCGAGAAGGTCGATGCTCCCCAAAATATAAATTATGAAATAAAGTAAACCTTTCAATTTTCGGGAAATAAATGCCATTGCCTGTTATATAAAGCTGTGCGAGGCAAGTTGAAACAAAATTAAATAAGGATTTTATTATACATATAGTTTCCTAGTTTATGAAAAAACAACAACCCCCCCCCCCTAAAGTATGTTTTAGAATCCCCCCTATAAAATAATATTTTATACCCGATGCCCATTGGAGGATCGTTTCGGTTTGGTTCGATTCGATTTCTGGTGGCTTTAGTGCACACTATAAATAGACCAACTGCCTAAACCGATCGCCTGGCCCTCAGCCATGAAAACAAACGCTTTTGTTGTTGAAGGTCATCATCCGTTTTGTCGGTTTCGCCCCCCCCCCCCCCCCCGGGGAAAAAAATCCCGGGAAACCTAACCCAAAATACCCAATCCAAAGGGACGGAGCCGAAATGAACCGATTATGCCCAAAGACATCCCGGAATT